CGAAGAGGACAGAATATGTCCTGCTCCTTTCTTTTTCTTTTAGTTTTTTTTTTCATTGTTCTCTTGAATTTTTTTCAGATATAAGAAACAACAGCTTTGAAAAACCTTGGAAGTACAAAAGCAATTGACAAGTGACAAATAGTAATTTTATGCCTGTGATAATGCTGCAAAGTACAGAAATACTTTGTAAAATCTGTGTCTGGAAAAAAAAAAAAGTTTTCAATCTGTATTTTTTTGGTTTTGAGTGAATTTTTTTAATATTTTAATCATTTTTTAAAAAACTTTTTGGATCTATTTAATCTAGATACACTTAAAAGTACAAAATTTGCAGGGAAAAAAATCTTTAAAAAATTCACTAACTACAAAAAAATATAAAAATTAAGTACATTTTCTTTTCTTTTCTTTTTTTTTTTTTGTACTTATTGAATTCTTTGTAGATTTCTTCACGAATATTTTACATTTTAAGTGCATTTAGATTAGGTGCTTCCAAAAAATTAAAACAATAGTGTTACTAATCTACTAGTCCATAATTATCTTAGTTTTACGAATTCAGTGTAACCTCCAAAAATTTATATTGGTTATCAAACATGGCCTAAACTAATACTCAATAACTTCATAATTAAGCGCATTTAATAACATAAAACAGAGCACTTAAAAAATATGAAAATATTTAATCGAAAAAGGAATTTTTATTCATGGAGTTCAATTATCATAAAATGTTGAATATATTCAGAAGAACCGAGACAGTGAGTACCTTTCTTTGTTTGGTTCTTTTGGCTGCTGCTTTCCAAGGAAACTAGGCTATCTGTAACTGCATTTAGTAACTTTGCCACATCAATGCCCTGTTTGGTATTCGAAAAAGAGAGAGTAAATGAACAAGAAGAAGAGGGAGTTTCTTGTGGAGTATCTTCCTGTAGTGTCTGGTTATCTAGGTTGCTATCCAAATGGCTCTTCTTTGGGATTTCATGATAGGAACTTTGGTGGCCTGGTTGGGGTTTGCTTCCACTATCTAAAAAATCATAATAAGAAGCATGTTGAACAAGTATGTTCTTGATGTCAATTGCCCACATGTGCCTTTCTTTCATCACCACTAATTGTTTTGGGAACAAAAACGTCATCCTCAAAAGTCCTACAATTAATCAAACACAAGTGAAAATTTAACTGCTAACAATATATATCATATGTCAAACATACACAATTAAACAGTTGAGATTATTGAATCCTTACTCTCTTCTACTTTCTTTTTTATATTATTAAATGTGAGTAAAAATTTAATTAAAAACTTGATCTTATATGGAACATTCTTAATTCTTACTCTCTTTTTTTTTTAATCAAATTATTCTTCAAATTGCAGTATGGTCGATCTAATATTTTACCATATTTGAGCAAAAAAATGGTTTTGAAGTAGAAACGAGAAGACAGCATATCTGATTCGGCGATTGAGACTCTGGAATGTTCGGATCGGAGATAATGAGAAGACAGCATACACAAACATACACAAACATATACAGAAGTTGATGAAAAGAGGTTATTACTGAAAACGGAAGGATTCGAAGGAGCTTACCAACATATCTGATTCGAAACCCCCACATTTGGATCAGGTGTTCTTTGAAACCTTTAGATCTGGCTTTAATTAGTTCGAAATCCTTCAGATCTCGTCTCTTGTTCTTTTCTTCAACGAGCACCACCACCGCCATCCTCTTCCACCACTGTAGCTGTCGATCTGAGGCGATAATGAGAAGACAGCAGCGGCGGTGAGTGTGGATGAGATCGGCAGAGGAGAGAGAGAGAGAGAGAGAGAGAGAGATGAGTCTGGTGATAGAGAAGAGTGAAAATGAGCGAGAGAGAACAAAAAATGAAATCGAAATCAAAATCACTGAGCTTGAGTAAATGAAATCGATTCTGAAGTTTGATGTAGATAGGTTTACCTCTCAGTGATTTCTATGTAAATGGAATAGGTAAACAAATTAAATCACCGAGATGATTCCAATGGATTCCTATTCTAAAATCACTCTGAGATTTAAGGGATCACCGAGCTGAAGCGAGAGAGTGAGCGAGAGATTTGAGGCATCTTCTTTCTGAGACTGAAGAGTAAAGAATGAGAGTCTCAAGCGGGAGGGAGAGGGTGTGAGAGATTATAACACATTCGGAGGCGTTTTCTATCAGCTAAACAGCGCCGTTTTGAGTAGCACAAAAGGCGACATTTTTAAAACGCCGTTGAATATTAAAAAAGACGACGTTTAAGAAAACGCCATTATATAAACGCCTTTTAAACCAACATTTCTTGTAGTGAACCGAACAGAAAGTTGGTGATATTTAGAGAGACAAGAACAACAACTTACCAGGATCATGGATTTTGTGGCCGAGCGGATGGCCTTCAGCTCGGTCAAGTTCTTGTGGTGCTCCATGTCGACTGGGAGGCACACACTCTTGGCAAGGTTAAAAGCCATCAAATGGTTTTTTTCAGCGACAACTGAATCAGTGTCCTGAATATCACGATTCTGGAAAGTCAGTTTGGGTGCCCATTTGGAAGAGCTAGCTCAGTCGGCGTGCTCCGGTTGCGAGCTCGGTGGAGGGCTTGGTGGCAGAGTGGTTTCGTCTTCATTAACTAAGCGTTGTTCGGCCTGGGGACTACGGGCGTGCTTAGTTCGGCGTGATAAGAAGGGTTGTTGTGATGGCAGGGCCACCACGGTTTCTTGTGTTTGGTTTGGTGGTGATACCTCGGCCCTGTTAGTCTCGGTCAAGAGAACCCTGACTCTGTTCCTTTTGGCCATCTCTTCTTCAGCAGTCAGTGGGATTAGTATAATTTGTGGCAAGGTTGGGTCCGGTTCGAGGGTATCCTCCAACAAAAAGTCAGTTACTCTGGCTTTTCGGCGGCCGCTGTATCTGTATGTCGGTTCGAAATTTAGAAGTTTGGCCCAACTTCTTTCTAGAAAACGAAGTGCGGCGCGGATAGTGTTCAGATTAGGGTAACCGTACAAGGATTGAAGATGGGCTGAATCTGCATAAAGAAGACAAACTGTTAGTTTGGTTTAGGAGCAGGTAACCGAAATAAAAAAAAGCATGCCAACAAACCAAAGTAATTATACCAGGTTCCCCTTTATTCCAGTTTATACTTCGGCCAGGGATCTGGGCTTGCTGGTCTTCAAAATTGCCAGACACCCAGAAAAAGTCATCATCATTCAAGTCTTTGTCCGGTGTGTCTTTTATTATTTTTTCTCGGCGGCGGCGTATTCTAAGATAGTAAACCCAGCCGTCTTCTTTTGACCCTATGGAGTACTGGTGGAAGATTTTGGCTAAGCCAAGGTTAATGCCAGCTCGGCGGTTTAGCTCGGCTATACCCATTATTATGCGGTATGAGTTGGTGGAAAGCTGGGTTGGGCATATTCTCGTTTGCCTAAGGAATTCACAAATTAAGGGTTGGACTGGAAATCTTAGTCCGGTTTCTATTATTGATAAAAGGGTAAAGGGTACACAGCCCTGGTTTTCCCAAGGTATAACATCTTTTTCGGCTAAGGTTAGGTGGACATCGTCAGGGATGTTATAATCCCTTCGGAATTCGGCCAAGCCACCTGGTGTTTCTACTAAAAACCTATATTTACCCATTTACTCCTAAGTTATGTATAAATTATGCTTGGTGCTAGCTCGGTCGGAAAATGTTGCTGTGTAGCTCGGTTGAGCGATCAAAAGGAGTGCCTGGGCAACCTAAGTCTGCAAAGTGAAAAACAGAAGTGTTAAGCACAGATCTTTAGACTGTGCTACAAAGTAAAACAAGTTAAGTCCTACTTCGGCTTTGTGAAATGTTGCAGGTCCTATCTCGGTTTGAACAAGGTGCTTGGTAGCTCGGTTGGGGCAAGTGATTTGTTAGACCGGTTAAAATTCTGGGGGCAGCTCTCTTAGTTCGGTCTGAACTACGAGCGCTGGTTTAGCCCCAAGATAGTTCGGTCAGAATCGAGGCCTTCAAATACACTAAGTGCAGATCTAGTTCGGTTTGTTATCTCGGCTAAGATAAATAAAAAAAAATGGTTTTTTGACTTGTTAAAACTACTGGTACAGGTGTTGGTTCGGTTGAATGGTCTGGCTAGACTTACACATAGCATAAACAGTATCCTAGTTCGGTTGAGACGTGTTTATGAACCAAATAGAGTATTCTACAGATTGCTTCATAAAGTTCATGGGGTTCTCATGAAGTTTTTTCCTAGAAAATAAGGCAACAAAAAAGCAAAAACAGTATTTCGTAAAAACACATGAACAGATTGTTGTGGATTGTATAAAGCAAATACGAAAACAGCAAAAGCAAGAAAGATAGATTTGAGTAACTTACCAGATGAAGGAGCACTGAAGAAGAAGTAGTGGCAGTGAAGAACACGAGCTCCTTAGGAACGAGAAGGAATGCGAGAAAGAGAGAGAGAAGACGTGAATAGGAAGATATAATGATTCAAGAAGAAAAACAAAAGGAGTTTGTTTTGATGCGAGGCCCAAAATTTGGGCGGGACTGTTCAAAAAACACGAGGTACGATGACAGCGTGACAGCTACCTTCAGCCAATAAGAGTATGCCACGTGTCCTAGGGATTAGAAGCGATTCAGTTGCTATGATTGAAGAGACGTTTGAATCGGACAGCTACAGACCGGTGTGAGCCTATCTCGGCTGGAAAGACTAAGAGGCTTAGCTCGGTAGTAAGGTTAAAATTTTTTAGCTCGGCTGGAAGACAAGGTAATCCCATCATGTTGTGCAGATGGAATTAAGGGGCAATTGAGAGGGTAATTTGTATGAATAAATTGGGTCGAGATTGAGTGATGGGCCGCTTTGGGCCGTAGTAAGAAAGGCGGAGTAAAATGGTTTTTTTCATTAGCTCGGTCCAAGAAGGCCTTGTTGTTATCTCGGTCGCCACGGCCAAATTGGTTAGTTCGGTCATAGCATACAAAACCGAGGTGAAAGCGAGAAAGTGTACTGAGCCCTCTTCAGGACTTGGTTTTGGGTTAGTTCAGCGTAGGCTCTTCTATGGATAGCTCGATCATGGCATGTGAAGCCGAGGTAGGGAAAAAGCGAGGAATAGCCGAACTAACAGTTAGATCGGTTACTCCAGTCAGTATAGCATGGCAATGTTATTTCGGTTGTATGGTAGTCCGGTCATGGTATAACCATCTCACTTGATTTAAGCAGTGAGGGGGATGTTGAAGGATAAGCATTATCCTTTAGGAATATGAATCCTAGGAGGACTCTACATGGTATAACCATCTCACTTGATTCAAGTTTTCTCACCCAAACCGCTTTAGTGTGAACAAAGTTGTGAGAATTACGGTTCTTGGGTGGTGTCTTGAAGTTATGGTTCCCTTCCCCTTCAATGGGAATCCATCTCGACTTGGTTTCTAAATTTCTATTCCTAAGTCTAGGAAAACACAACCTCTGTTCAAGTTTCGTCTCAAGAAAATCAAAATAATGAGGTCTAATATGACCCTTAACCTCATTACCACCAATGAAGTGTCTCCTATCCCATGAGATGTTGGAATTTCTTCCATCTCTATGAGACACTCTCCCATGCAACTCATAACAAGAAGGGCAAATATGACCATACATACCACAATGATGACAAATAAAAACAGAGTGTACCTTTTTTTCTTTGGCCTTACCAACTCTAGGAAGTTTGAGAAGTCCATCCTCATGTTGAATTTTTTATTCTCCATTTCCTTGAGTTCTTGTATCATGAGATGTACATGCACTCCATTTTTGCTCTTTGTTATCACCAAAGCCAATGTCACTCTTGTCATAACACATTTGTTGAGACCCAATGATATTGTCCGAAGTCTTTAATCCTTTGTTCCAAAGACCAATGGTAGCCATAGCACACTTGAGCTCTTTCTCTTTCTTAATCATTAGTTCTTCCAAGGCAACTTAAGACATCTCAAGAGTTTGAATCTTTTATTCATATGTTGCATAAATTTGTTGTAGCTTATCCATCTCTGTCTCACAGATCAAGAGTTTCACACAAAGAGCTTGTCGATCACTAGAAATCTTAATGGCATCATTCTTAGCCTTGAAAATCTCCTTCTTTAATTTGACATTCTCACTTTCATATGCTTTGAGTTTCATAGTGAGTTTGTCATTCAATTTGGATAAGTTAAGAGATTCCTTATACAACTTTTCATAAGCTTACTGAAGTTCTTCATCTTCACTCCCTAAGGATTCATCATCAGTGGCATTCTCAACCAGCCTCTTCGGATACTCTAATTGTCCTTCAATTTCAGAAAACGCCATGAAAGCAAGGAATTGTTCATGCCCCTCTTTACCTTGTGCTTCGTTGTCACTTTTATCTTTATCAGACTCGGATTTATCATCCCAAGTGATAGTGAAGGCTTTCTTCTTCCTCAACCGATTAGGGCATTCTTGAGCAAAGTGGCCAAATCCTTGGCATTCATAACATTGGACTCTTTCATAATTCCCTTGTATCTTTCCTTCCTTCTTCTTGGTTATAGAATTAATTATCTTTTCCTTTGGATTTATGAATTAATTCTGAAAGATTAGGATTCTTTTTTAGAAAAGACTTTTTACCATTTGAATTTTTTTTTCTTTTTTTCTTTTTTCCAAATTTCTTACTGTTAGTGCATAGGGAGCCTGGCCAAGCCGGGCCGGGCCAGTGTGGGGGAAAAAATTTTAAGGTCAGGCAAAGCTCACGGATCAGGCCAGATTGTAAAACAGACAGCTCCACTCGAGCCGCAGGTGGGCTTCGGGCGGCCCACAGGCCCTCGGGCCAATTTTACACCTCTACTAATGACTAAAAAAATTTAGTTGTGACACTTGTGATAATCAACACCACAGATGTTACAAATTATATATGGCACTCGTAAAATAGGGATGTAGTGTCACTGCAGCAACGAGTTGTACAGCCCGTGAAATTCATTTGGGTCCTATTTTGATGATCTGATCGGTTCAAATTTTATGAAACATCGAGAACAATGTACTTGTAAAAAATCAAGTTAATTGAATATCAATAACTTGTTCATGAAATCACATCTTTATATAATAATAAAAAAATGAATATGTATGTATCAAACTGAATACAAATATGATTTGATGAAGAAGTTATTGATATCCGATCAACTTGATT